CTCATGAATCTTGATGTCGAGATTTCTGGACAAAGGACAAAATTCTGGACTATGTTTTGAATAGGGGTTTCTTTTATTAATCAGAATATATATTTCGATGTGACGCATTGGATTGCCCTCCTTAACTGGCATTAAACTTAAGATTTCTCTTTTTGACAATTTTGTCCCTCTATCTGTGGAATGACCCAAATGCGTGAGGGCATGCTATGTACACGTGTGTTCCCTTGCGTTCGAACGGATGTAGACGCATGCAGACTCGCAAGCCCCATGCATGTCCAAATCGCACGCGTCACGTGCCAAGCGTGCGATGGCCTTCAGTCTCTCCATAGAGATTTATAATTAAAAAAGAGGCAGGGCTGCACAGAGCAAAAAGGGTATGCCCCATCTCACCAAGAAGGCGACATCCGCGACAGAAGACGTGTAATGTGAAAGAAATTATCGCTCGTTCTGTCCCCGTTGCGAATGTGGAGTTTTTCAGCTGATTTTTTCCTTGAAGTGTCTTCTGCATAACAAAACTCTTTTCCAGTCGAAACAACAAGCTTTCAGAATTACGTGCGGAATTTTCTAACATGTCTAGATTTCTCGACATCAGGATCATCGACCTTCTTTTGTTTCTTTTTGAACCCTGACGTCGAAAGGGAATTCAACTTTTCCCTATATCAGTCAGATCCTAGTCCCATAAGCCCTCCAAAATCCGAAATCCTGGCGTTGAGATTTCTTGACAAACGGTAACTACCGATAATCTTTGATCATCGCCGAAAGCATTCCCTGCATTCCATCAAGCGCATCCAAGTTGGTTCCACTCAAACTGAACTCTTCCATTCGTTCAGTATTCAGGTGGTTACATGGTATTTGTCAAGTGTCAGCGCTGCTGAACATGAATTTGTACGAGGTAATCGAGTGGCCAGATTTCGTCTTGACATTTCCCATGCATCGATAATGGTGATGTGGAAAGCATCTTGTGGTTTCCATTCAACGACTTCCTTCGAATTTGCATCTCACGCGCTTGATTCTCCCATTATTCTTGCCCTCTTAATGTCATCGCATTTCATTTGTGCATATCCGACTCATTGACTCGAATTCGGGATGACGCAAATCTATTCGCAAGACAAAAGAGGAGATTTCCAACTAATTCAATTATCAGTTTCCAAATTGTGGCGTAGGGATGCTCCGTCTTCGTTCGTCTTTCTGGTATCCAAATTTCCGAAGCAAGTGAAAGCCTGAAAGTAATCCTGATTGGTTCTTCCTGCTCCACCCGTGTTCGGTGTTTCAACATTGTTTCGAATTACTCACAAGCATGAAGGACAAAGAAAAGCCGATTGCTTCATGGAGCCTAAGGTTGACCAGCCACCCTTGACCTTCATGTTTCGATCGATTAGCCCCTTGCTAATTTTGTTGTGCAATTGTAGGCACTGGTAACGATAAATTCCAAGCCAATTGACGAGTCTTGAACGAGGAGAAACTGACAACAAATTAAATGTCGATTACAGAGTTTAATATTTTTTGAACAGGTCAAGTGCAACCGGCACCAGGAACTCGAGACCCAGCGACATCGCCAATTCGTTATTCACTCCCCTCGACCTCCTCGCAAAATACGGAAGGGCGCAGTGGAATTGGATCGACTAGGCAACCATCCAGCCCTGCCTCCGTACCTTCTAACATAAATGGTGGAAGTGGAGTGCCAAACGAACGTGACATGCTGGCTACACTGCGGGAAGCGCAAGTGAAAATCCTGCAGGAATTGAAGAGCATATCTTCCTCCATGAAGAGTATGGTGGAATATCAGAAGGAGCTTTTACTCATGCAAGCAAGGGAATGAATCAGATCGACTAGGCGTCCTTCTCGCTCGTCCGGCAGATTCATACTTTTTCTTTTCCTCTTCAGAATCTGTCATGGGAATGCCACTTCAAACTTGGTAGCGGTTTTCCTGGAAGGGATTCAGTCTTCGAGTTCTGCCCCCCACTATATCATTTCAACTTTCCAGCCACCAATTTGCGCCTCGCAAGAGTAAAGGAAAGGGATGTGAAAGTGATCTCCTTTTTCTTGCGCTTTAGAGCCTTCGCTGTCTTTCTATCGTTTTATTCGAAAAATGCGAATATTTTAAAATAAGAATGCATCTTCATTCGAGTGTTGCAGAAATTCTGATTGACGTGGATTGGTCGACAATTTGTTTGAAAATTTATATAATCGAATGTTATTGCTAGGGCTGTCAATTAGATGAGATTAATCGACCAATTAATAGAATAAATTATTGCACGCAATAAAAAAAATTAGTTGAAATTAATCTTATTTTTATCGACCCCCCTGCTTCCCCTTAATGGCTCTTTTTCCCTTCTAATTTTATTGCGTATTCATAATTTTGGAAAAAAAAAACCGGAAACGAGTGTTTTATCAAGGGATAATAATCGCCAAGTCTCTTTCCTGTAGATGGGTGGATGTCTGACAATTGATAAACCCTGTTCGCATCTAAATAAAAATGTTCTGACGCTCGTGAGGAAGTTTCGCTCCGTGTCCCTCTCCATCTTTTGAGCCACGTTGGAAATCAACGTTGGGCCCACATCTCAAAAGTTTTCCAGCATAGGACCAACGTTGGCCCAACGTAGGTGTGCTGCCGGGGTCGCTGGAAAATATCCTATGAATAAAGCGTTAATGGTATCAATTGGAAACTAATGGCGTTCGTAGCACACATATTTAGAGCTTCTTCACAACTTAGAGTATAAAAGCATCAAGCACACCCACATTGAGCAACACAATTACTATATTGGATTCTCACATGCACGATGTGTGCCCCACGTTTGTTCCCGTTGTAGGACTCCAATAGGCTTGTCCTTCGGCCCCACGTTGGGCCAACATTAATTGCTGAGGTGCACCATGAATCTAATATTAAAGTCACGGTGCACATTAATGCTCCTAGAAGAGGCCTGGATAAGCTTCTAGATTCCTCCCATACCTGGGGCCTTGCCGATTTGTCTCTCTCTTTTTGGCTAGGAGTGATCTAGCGAGTAATACTTCCCTCAATTATCTCCTGGGACATTCACTTTCCACACGAGATTAGAATTCCACCCATCACTCATATGATGGGTGGAATTCTAATAATTTTCCCGCTCTGGAAGTGCTTGCTAGGTAAGATCTCTTGGGTGATCTTTTTTTTTTATCACACTCGAACAGACATTCCCCGAAGGATATGTAGCTAGACACAGACTCCACAATCAGTAGGTTGATTTTACATAATCCTCACCCCATCGAGTTGAACTCTTCATCCTTCACTACTTCCAAGGAGTCTCTCTGGGCTGTTCAACCCTTTCAAACAATTGCATTAAGGAGTTAGTGTCCCCCAGCATTTTTTTTTTTGGAAAAGATCCGGTACGCATAATATGTACAGGGAATTTAAAAGCAAGTTACACTCTGACACCGCTGAAATACTATTTTGGCGCCATCTCGCTTCATTTTCAAGAACCTTGTTTGTTCGAATAAGTGAAATAGATGGCTTACCCACTGAGGACAAATGTTGGCCTAAGTGGGGCCTGCAGAGGCGTAGGGAAGGTGGGGGGAGGGGGGGGATTAGGGGGTTAGAACCCCCTCTTTCCCCCTTGGGCTTCCTGGTCAGCAACACTTACAGGCATATTACTACCTTCTTTGGAAATTCCAATTTTAGCTATCCCCCTTCGAGGAAAGTCCGATACCCGTCCACTGACCCAAGATGCCAGACCACGATTTCTATGAAAAGGTAAATTACGGGTTGTGGAGCTAAATGTTGGGTTGGGGTGTCTACCTGGCCTCAAATCCCCCCCCCCCTTATTGATTTCCTGCCTACACTAGAGGGGACCTGCATTGGCAGCCCATTGTGATATTGGTCCACGCTACCCCCACACAGCCAATGTGGGTCCCACGTTGTGTGCTGCATATGTATGTGAAATTCACAACCAGTTGAAACTCAGCAGGCTTTAAGGCTGTACACAGGTTAACAATTACCCCCAACTTGGGTGTTCCCAAGTTTTCCTCAGGAAAAATTTTGGGGTCTCAAATTCGATAATAATACAAACCTTGAAATTCAGTATAAAACTCGCAAACTCTTTCAATTATATAAGTTACACGTTTGCATTTGGCTTCACAAGATGAATGCACTTTGTGTCAGGGGCGGATCCAAGGTGGGGGGGGGGGGGGGAATCGTCCCTCCTATGACCAGGTTACCATTCTATTTTTTTCAGTTTTTTTTTTAAGAATAGCTTCTTCATTAATTTTTATTGGGGCCAGTGAAAGTGGGGGTCATGATTTTTCCTTTTTATGGTCGGTTTCCAGCAATAGGATGGACTCTGCTTTTTTCGAGATGGTCAAGCTCAATTTAGGTCGTTTTCACAAGGAACGACCCTAATAAGAATAAGGTTGGCTGTTATCGGAAATATGTAGACCTGAATACTCCAGCTCTAACTCCTTCCGTGATTTCCACTAACACAGTTCGGACAAACTGGGGAAAATTCGGTGAAAAAAATATACATTTTCGGAAAGAATTTTCGGACATAAAATAGACACGGAAGGGGTTATGTTGTCCTTGAATGAAGCCAGCAGATGCAGATTAATACGCCTTTGGAACACTGGGGAACATGTCAAATTAAGGGGATTAAAAGGATTTTTAAAATGTAAGTGAACATATTTTCTTCGTGTAAAATGATTTTTCAGAGATTTTGTTTCCCCTAGCCATAAAACCAGTCCGAGAAAAATGACTTAGCATCATATGGTTAATCCGAGTTCAGTTATTTTAAGTTCCCCCACAACACTTCAAAATCTCATTTCTTGGAAATAAGTGTCACAAGAAGCTACAATTTTTTGCTGTGAGGTTTAATGATGGGCATTTGAGATCAGTGTCACAGTGAGATCAATGTCACAAGTCTCAATGTGAGTGAGAATGCCCCCTACCATCCTGGCTTCAAATTTACCATAATGCTTTTTTTTCCAACTGTCACTTTTTATCTCAGAAATTTTGCCAACCAGTTGACACTATCATGACAACTGTTGTCTTCGCGACCCATGAATCTGTGTCACCCGGACGCGGAAAGCTCTCTCATGATGAAATCAAAGTGCTTTTGGAAGAAGTGGAAAGTTTCAAGGAAGTGTTACTGGGACCAATCACCCCTACGACTTCACTTACAAAGCAGAAAAGAGCATGGGACGCTGTGGCCTATAAAATGTGCTTGAAGACGCGCATCGAGAGGTCAGGGAAGGAAGTGAAGGCGAAGTTCATGCGCATGAAGTCGGCAGCGAAACGAAGGCAATGCTTAGCCGTCGTCCGGGAACGTTCTGGACAGCCACCTAGCCCACTATCACAGAGACAGAGAGATTCTAAGATTCTAAATATTGCGGGGTCAACATCTCTCCATAATGCTCATGTGGATTCAGTATCGTCTACTCAACCATCATTTGTTGGCACAATTACTGCAGGTAATCCAAAGAATTACAGTTCCTATTAAAACACTTCAAATCTCCTGTACTTCATTCCCTATCCCAGGCTCCATAATCATGGCTCCATAAGCAGTCTGTTTATATATTGTGGTTTGACATGAAATAAATTCTTAATGATTCTTGGTAATAAATCAATTCTATCCGAACAGGACCGTTCCTAGTGACGGGGCGAGACGCAGCAGTGTCATCAACTGGATCTTCGCCCTCACCGTCGTCTTCGAAGAATACCGGGGAGAGCTGTGGTGTGGGAGTCAAGAGGAAGCTATTCTCCACCTCCTTTACTCTATCGAACACGATCGGGGAAAACGGCATGAAAACTGTGGAGAAAAAAGGCGACATGACAAAAATTTTGGAAATGCAGTTGTCGATCTTGAAGGAATTGACCGGAATCTCTTCTTCCGCGAAGGAGATGGTAGAATATCAGAGAAGGCTTATCCTTGTGCAACAGAAGATGCCCATCGAACCAGGTTTTAGACCCTGCCGGAACTCCGGCTGCTTCATACATCCTCATACGCCCCAAGACAGATATTTTTATTCTTCCTCTACCAAGGAATCCTTCGAAATTCGCACCCCTTTGACTTGCTCAGACATCAATGTCATCTACCTTATCACCTGCAGAAGATGTTCTGCGCAATATGTGGGAGAAACGGGAAAATCTTTTTTTCATAGAGCCAAGGAGCACATCAAGGACGCTATAAATTATCGAAGACCCATTGGAAAGCATTTCAACACAGACAACCATGAGATCTTCGATCTCGTCATACTTCCAATTGAAAGAGTACAAGGCAACGAAACCATTCAGAGGAAAGTACGAGAAGACTTCTGGATCAAGAAACTGAGACCCTCCATCAACAAGGCCCTCTAGAGTGGCTAGGTGCGTGAAGGCTTTTTTCAAAAGCCGTTAAAGTGACTGCGCTATAAAAGGCCGTGACTGCGCCTATTCCACTCATTCTCTTTTGAGCCCTCGCCGAGGCAGCTACGTCTGGTTTTCGCTCTGTTTCTTGTCTCTGCGCTGCAGACCCGAGGCTATATACATGATTCTCATTTCTGTTTAGGCCTTTCTTTTCTTCGTAGCTTTTCCTTCGTCGTGTGGATAGTCTACTTGACTGCTCTTTTACACATCAGCTTCATCTTTTGAATTCAAAATAAAAATTTGTAAAAGCAGCGGACAATCCTGCATTGTACCTGCATGTAGAAATACATGGAGAAATTCACGTCATGATCCGCCCACCACCTTCCACCTAGTACCACGGGATGATGCAGCCAAGGAGAATAGTTATCAGCTTGTAACCGAATGGACTTGTAGGATAGGACAAGGAGCTTTGTTTGCTCCAATCACTTTCTTCCTAGTGACTATGAAGGGGGGCATAAGAACATGTTTCTAAAAAAATCGTCCATTCCACTTTGTCTTGATGAACCTCCACACCTTGATCAGGATCAAATGCAAATTGAGGTATTGATGAGACAGAGTGAGGAGATATATGAAACGACAAATCTCTCAATTCCATCAAAATGTTGCCCTGAAATCAGAGAGATATTGAAATTGAAAAATCAGGATTCTATCAGGTCTGAAAGTAAAATTACAAAGAGTTAGGTTAGAAAATCTGAAACTCAAGAAGGATGTGAAATGTCTCAAGAAAAAACTTGCCGAGTTCTCCGAATCACGAAAAAAAGAAAGTGCTTATGTAAAATTGTTGGAAGGACATTTTTCTTCTGCACAATCACATGTTCTCAAGGGAGGAAAGAAAGCTCTCTCCCCCAAAGCATTCACATACGTTCGAGAACAACTGAAAATTCCACTTCCTGGCCTATCAACCTTGACCAAGTGGTTCGGAAAATTAATATATCCCCAAAGCAAGCCCCCACCCTATCGAAGCGAGCTAAAGGCGAATCATATCTCAGCTGTGACGTCACTACACGCACATTCACGTGCCTCAAGTGACTGCGCTCCCTCCTCGGCCTCTAGGCGCGTGAGCCACTCGAGCCTATCTGATAGTCAATGTATCTTGGTGCCCAGCGACGAACCGAATCATGAATATGAAACCGATTTGCGTCTGGCGTCGAACCGTTTCGATTCATTTATATCAATAACGGACAAGGAAGTTATGAATGGGCCGACCTGAAGTCGGACCACAACTGACTGCAGTTTCGGTCGGTTGAATCGAGAAGTAACCGAGGCGAGTGGCAACTGCAGTCTGACTATAGTCCAACTGCAGTCGAACGGGAACTGGAGAATGGTTTCAAAATCTCAGTCCGTTCGAAGTCCAGTCGTAGTTCCAGTCGACTGCAACTGCAACCGAACTGGGACCATCTTCGGACTATAGTTCAACTGCAACCGAACTGCGGCTTTGAAATAAGCCAAAATAAGCCTTTGGCATCGAGAACATTCTTCCTCGAGACATGTGTAGCGCCCCCGCGTGAGGAATAATTAGGAGAAGGAAGCGAAAGGACTCGGTCTATATCTAGTTTAATTATTAAGGGATGACCAAAGTTGTGATGGGCCTTGGGTCGCAAAGAAGCTTATTTCACCTGTTATCCAATTATGCATTACCAGGCCGCAAGAAGTAGGTCCACGGGCCACGGGTTGCCCATCCCTGCTTTAAAGTGTGCATGCAGAAAGAATACGATGAGAACGTCATACGGCCGAGATCTCAGATCTCCACACGAAACGGAAGCCGAGACAAGGACATTTTAAATTTGGTCCAAAAGCAAAAAGTGTGCTCCAACCCGCACGAGTCAACTTCCTTGTTTTTTTTGTAAGACAGTTCATTCAGAGTTCTAATTAAAACATAAAATGGGGGATCCTGCTCTTTCGAATGAGACATCAACGAACTCAGACGGTGCTGTACAAAAAAATTCTGAAAAAAATTTCCGAGCTTTTATACAGAAACACCCTGTACACTTGTGGGAAATCGGCGAACCGTTTCGACTTACCAGGGAGGTTCAACTGCGCTCCTAGAAGAGTGACGTAAATGGAATGCAGAAGACATTAGCCCTAATCCCGCAACCTGCTTTAGTTGACCGTCCTTTAAGAATACATGGACTCCTATGGGAGATAAAGAGCTCTCTTGCTCAAAGGCCCATGTACTTCGAAATGAAGTTCGTGCAGGGACATAGCCAGGGGGGTGCCCTGAGTGTCTGGACACCCCCCGAAATGAAGCAATACAGTCGATTCCGGTTAATCGGACCACATCGGGACGCGATCATTTTGGTCCTAATAACCGGCTGGTCCGATTACACGAACATGCCCTATGTTACAAGACGGGACGTGCTATACGTAACATATTAA